CCCCAAAACCCCAAAACCCCAAAACCCCAAAACCCCTGGCAGACAAATTATTATTGAATTATGCACTTTTTGTTATTGGCTACTTTTTCATCAGATTTTCCTGACTCAATACAACAATGATATACTGTGGACTCTGAGGTGTTGTAAAAAGATATAGGAAGGTCCACTAAAGAGAACTTTACCAACCAGTGATCGACTCTTGCTTTCTCAATAGTACATCTCCCTAAGCTCAATCTTTGGAGCGAGGTTTGCAATGAACAGGTAGAGATACTTTTGATTATATCTTCGATAGAATCGATCGTTTGAGCAGTTGACAATGATTTATTAGTATAATAATCTGAATTTTCCTCTTTGAGATCTTTAAACATTATAAAAGTTGTCTTGTAATTTATTTTCTTGTTTAGAACTAACCCTTCACATCGAACCATGCATTTATGGAACTCAAGCATCCGAGTCTGGCTTCAATATTGGAATATCTTTTTCATCTGAATCTTGTCAATAACTAATCCGCTGATCACGCATTGTCTCAAAGTATATGGCGCAAACCCCAATAAGTTAGTCAGCTGTGCTTTTATTCTTCTGTTTTGTTTTCCCTCATCATAGAGCGATCCAGTTATCACCAATGAGTTGTGCACTATTCTTGGCTTTCAGGTCCTTAAAATAGTCTTGACATCTTTCGGATACTCCCAATTGATCTGTGCTGAAGAAATATTGTAGAGTTCGTTCATTTTTGAGCTATAATTGTAACAAACTCAGATACATATATTCAACAATTTTTGAAAAATGTTAGGGAAATTTGTAAAAATACATTATAGTTCATGATGGCTAAACTGATTGAGAATGTAACCAAATAGCCATACTTTTAGAATATAGTTAATAGTAGAAATTGTGTTGTATAATATGCTCATGATGAGTCTGAGTCTTAAACCGCTAATGAGTCGATAAGTTTAGTTGTAATCTCAAATTAGAAGTTTCTGCTGGCATAAATATTCTAATAATTTACTCAGTAAATATAGCCTCTGAATAACTATTAGGAGCAATTATCTAGTAATAACTTTGTTTTCAGGTTAAGAATCCGTTCTTTTATTTGGGTAGGAAATGTATAACTGCTAATTCTATTGATAATCATTAGTAGTAGTTATAAAAGAAAGCAATAAGGAAAATACTGGTACTTTTTCTCTTTTAAGAATCTGTCTCCTTATTGGTATTTTTCTTAATTATACAGAGATTAAATATCTTATCCATATTAAGTCATATAAATAATATGGCAAGCATCTATTAGTTATCCAAATACATTATAAATAATTCATAGCGTACAAATTTAAAGACATATCTCTTGTTAAAATCCATATTGCAGGAAAAGCAAAGAGTTTAGCCAAGTCTGTTCTCTCTGAGCTAAAAAGAGTTTATTTGTAGCATCAGTTGAACCATTGACATAGCCAAAATACGTATCTAGAGTTTTAGTACTGGTGTGTGCCTTTAAATTAGACGAAATCATATCAGAGAATTTTTAATTTTAAGATCCATACCAAAAATTCTAGATTCATATTTTGGTTAAGGCAATGGCATAGCTGAGATCTGAAGTTGAAAAATTTTTGGTTCAAGAGAGAAGACTTATTTAAACTCTTTTCCTTGAAGTTAATATGTATTCTAACTGCCAAATGTGTTTCTAATTATTTTATGTAAGGAATCTATGATAAGATATTTGACATAATAAATCATTATCGAAACAACTAAACATGACCAAAGGATTTTATTTCTCTAAAAATATCCAAATATAGCCTAAACTATCCAAAAGTTTCTAAAACCACAAGTACCTAAAAGCAAACTCCATCATCTGCTGTCTCTTCAATATTTTCCTGTACTCCCTACTCAAGCTCAACTGGTACCCGAAATGCATGCCTAGACATAACTCCTTCACTTACTTGCTATAAGTCCAGTTCCGCCTGGCCGTTGGTTAACTCTTTCTTCCATACTGTAGCCCCAACCCCCCAGTTGGGATTCTCTTAAATTATGAGTATCAATCTCTTGTTGAAGCACTGATAACTCAAGTTTCTTTACTTTTTTCATTCTGAAGATGGAGAGGGTTAAATAATTTTATATATATTTTGTTTGTGTTGGGGTTTTGGGGTTTTGGGGTTTTGGGG